GTGTTGTCTACATACAGACAGAGGCAAAACCTGCAGCATTCAGATCTGGGCCAAATCTGTTTACAAGTCGCCAGATCTGCATAACGTCACCGGAGGGTTTTTGCACATGCGCCAGTTCAGGGTCAGGCTGGGATCATGAGCCTGCCTGACATCTGCAAAAAATGTTTTGGCTCTGATCTGGTCTGGACCAAATCAGCCTAAAAATGAAATAAGAATTATATATTTGTGCCACATCTGGCTCAAATGCAGTATTTATAGCACCTGTGGGCCACCTCTGACTCTGACCTATATCCACGCCGGTTACGGGTCATTGGAAAACAAGAGACCCCGGGCCCACATCTGTTTACAAGTCCGGGGCAAATGTTCACCTATAGCTGGCCCAGAGCAGATAACTTTTGCTGTCAGGGTACAAATAACTGTGTGGATAGTTTGTCATTTTTGCTCGTCCGAAAGCCAGCTGGATTTTACAAATTCACTGTGATGGCAGGTCACTTTGGAGAACATTTAGCCAGAGGAGGAGAAGGAGAACTTACCTTCTCATCTCTGAAATAACAGAAGAAAAAAATAGTCTTTCAGGACCTGTGGCAGCAGGTCTGTTCTGATTTCTGAATGCATGTCACTCAGAAACAGCCGTCACATCATCTCTCCAGATATTCATTGTGCACAGAACCATCCCCCCCACACCTCCTCAATAAACTTCTGCACCTTTTTTTTTAAAACAATGGTAGTTTGTGCAAAAATAAATAAATGAATAAGTAAATCTGTCACTTTGTCAGAAGTTGTCATAAGTTCTCCACAAATGGTAAAATGACATAAACAGAGAAATATCTATCTGCACCACTCTGTGAAAAAAAGAACACCTTATTCATGACTGCAGTTATATATATATATATATATATATATCCATCCATCCATTATCTTTACCCGTTTATTCCATTTAGGGTCACGGGGATCGCTGGTGCCCATGTCCAACAATCACTGTGCGAGGGGCGGAGTACACCCTGGACGGGTCGCAAGTCCATCACAGGGACACATAGAGACAAACGAGACAAACAACCATTCACTTTCTCACTCACACCTAGGGACAATTTAGAGTTACCGGTCAGCCTAACATGCATGTTTTTGGACTGTGGGAGGAAACTGGAGCACCCGGAGAAAACCCACGCATGCACGGAGAGAACATGCAAACTCCACCCAGAAAGGCCCCTGGACCGGGGTTTGAACCAGGGACCTGCTCACTGAGAGGCAGCAGCTCTACCAGTTG